GGCATTTCATTGTCAAACCAGGTAACATCATCAGTGAGCATGCGCTCACATGCAGGCATGTTCCGGTTTTGGCACTCAGTGCTGAAAAAGTTCACCATCACTGTCCTAGGTCAGTGATGGCGAACCTTTTTCACCTTGGGTTCCAAAAGCACTCGCACGCATGCCCACCCCCATAATTTAATGCATGCGCGCAAGGCTTTCTTGGATCCTGGAGAGGATGAAAACGGCCTTCCCCATCGACCTCGGGAGGCCCTTCAGAGGCCGGAAATGGCCCGTTTTCCAACTTCCGGTGGGCCTGGTAGGTCTGTTTTTTACCCTCCCCAGAGTCCAGAGGCCTTCTAGGAGCCTGGGGAGGGCGAAAACAGCCCAACACGCAAACCAGAAGTCCGTTACCAAACTTCCAGTTTGTACGTTGGGTGGTTTTTTAGGAAAGCCTCCAGAGGGCGAAAAACGGCCAAAAATCAAGACTGGCCAGCACATGCATGCATGCTAGAGCTGACAGGGCAACGCCTCGCGTGCCTGAGAAATGGCTCCATAGGTTCCATAGATTCGCCATCATTTGTGTTAGGTGATCAAAGTCCGAACTTTCCTGCCTTGAACAAGCCAACACTGGAGAAATAGACCTCGAAGTCAACAGTTTGTGAGCAAAAAAACTAGAGAAGAGAACTCAAAATTGGCTCTTTTGGAGCTCCAGAAGATTCCCAGGATGCGTGTTGGAAGCTGCAGTTGATGTGGTGGCCTCCAAGGGTTTTGAAGCCACAAAAAGCATTGTTCAAAGACTTTAAAAATAGTAAGCCAGTGTAAGAGAATGGCATGAAAAGGGCAATCACTGCAGCCTTTTCTTGTTGTCATCTTGGAGTTTTTCCAACCGCCACTGTGCAAACAGAGAGGAGGGAAATGGAAATTCCACTTGTCTACAATGGCTGGAGGAAGGCCCAACTTTTGTGCCATCAACAATTGAATTTCCTTTTCATTTTGTTCTTCACACTGAGCTACTATCCGCTGAACGGTCTGGTACAACATTATTTCCAAAGCCTATTTTGGGGAACTACTTAAGGGCTGATCTGAAAAGCAGCAAAAGGAGTGCCGCACCATTTCTAATAGAGAAATGGGTAGATAATAAATAGATTTACACACCTAAAGGAGTTTGTCCTGCCAGGGTTGGTTAAAAAAAAGAAGTGGCTCAGCCATCAACAGACACATCGAGATAAACCAGCTTTATACGCCATTTAGAAGAGACAATCAAAAATCAATACAAACTAATATAAAAGAAGGAAGGAAAGAGAAAAAGGGAAAGCAAAAAAGTGGAAGAAAAATAGAAAGAAAGAAAAGGATACAAATAAGTGCCTCCAAGATTTTTCCTAGCAGTTGTAAGTCCATGAACTAGCTAAAGTTTACCTAGAGAAACAAAGCCATTCTACTAAGCACCAACTGAATAAAATCAAAGGGGGGGGGGGAGAGAATTCATTCCAGATTTTAGCAAAAAGAACACCAGTACATGGTTTAAAGCCAATCTTTGCTGTTCGCCCTGCTGGCTTTTTCTGTTTCTTCTTCTTATTTTAATCCAATTAACTTGGTTTGTGGCAGAACCAGGTTTCCACTTGCGAGAATCTCTTTGCAAATTCAAAGAGAATTGGGGGATTCCTGGATTGGAGAAGCAGAGCCTTACCCATCACGGAAAGCAAATCGAACCTTTATTTATTTCCTCCGACCACATTTCAGGTGGAAGAAATTTTAACAACACGTCAGGTTTGGGAACAAAACAGCCTCCAGCTTTCTTCTCTCGCCACCACTGTGAGACAGAACGGGGCGAAAGGACAAGTTAATTACTAATGCAGAACGGGCTAAAAATAAAACACAACACTTTGTCCTGCCGTTACACGTTAGACAAAGTGCCAAACGGCAGCGAGCTGGCAGGCGAAAAAAGGAATATTTTCAGGCACCGAGACATCAAGGACTTGTTCTCATCGCTTCCGTCCACCGTCCCACCTCCTCGTCTCGCTCGGAAAGGGGAAAAAAACTTGGCTTCCCCGGGAAACGTAAAAGAGAGAGGAGGGTGGAGGGGAAACGAGCCAGTGTAAGTGAAGGGCTACCAGGATGTAAGTGTAAGTGAAGGGCTACCAGAGAAACACAGGTAGCCCTTCACTTACACTCACAATTGCGAGCAGAATTTCCATTGCTAAACAAGGTGTTTACTGGACAGTCACTTGTCTGAGATGGTATAGGTTCTCCTGCTTGAGCAGGGGGCTGGACTAGAAGACCTCCAAGGTCCCTTCCAGTTCTGTTCTGTTCTATTTTAGTTCTAAATTCTATTCTAATTCTATTCTATTCCAGTTCTAATTTTTATTCTATTCCTATTCCTATTCCTATTCTAATATGCTCTTCTCTCCTATTTCTATATATTCTAGTCTTATATTCTCTTCTCTTCTATGATTATTATTATTATTTCATTGATTCGCCCATGGGCCATATCAAAGTGCAGAGTTCCAAAACCTGAATTATTACTAAAATCCGATAGAAACAATTTGAAATGGAATTGGGATTAAAATACAATTTAAAAATGGAATTGGAACAAAATACAATTTGAAATGAGGTTGGAATAAAGTACGAGAGTTTAACATATGGATAAATAAAGTAGAACACAATCGTATTTCATAGAAGGAATTAATTTAAAATAATTTTATGACCTTTACGGTTGGGGGTTGTTAAGCGAATCATGAGGCCATTAAGCAAATCCTGGAGGCCGCAACCATCATATATATACATATACATCAGTTGCAAAGTGCCTGAATTTTGATCATGTGACCTGGGGATGGCTGAGATAGTTGTAAAATGGAAGCACTGGTCAGAAGTCCCTTTTCTTAGCACTGCTGTATCTTCCAGTGGTCATTAAACAAATGGCCACAAGGTGAGGATTACCTAGGCCAAAAATGACATAGCTGCTTTCAAAGGACACTGCGTGAATGGAGATCAAGCAACCTTGCCTGTTACCAAAGGTCCATTTTGACCTTTGAAGGGTTATGTAAATCTGCCTTTTCCTGAATCTCCTGGACATTTCAAGCTTCAAACTGGTTACCCAACTGCATCAATTCAGAAGGATGGAGGTCTTTGGTTTCCAAAGCTCAAAGAGATCTGAATTTCTCAAGACTGCATCTTCCTTCAGGTTCCTTCTAAGAGGCTTAAGATTCCTGTCCTCTCGTCTATATAGTTCTACTGCTAATGCACATGTTTACACGAAAGTATATTCATTCATTTCTCTCATCACCTTTTGTTTAATTCTAATGTTTCACTACTAATCATATACTTATATAATTCTAATAGGCTTATATGGACTAGAGGATTGGAAAGAACATGAATAGATGTATGAATAAGAATTAAGTTTTAATTGAAAATTAAAGTTTGAATGATGATATTAGAAATAAAAACATGAAATAGATATATTTGAAATGCTTTAAATGATTGCTATTGGTACCAAAAGTGTATACTGAGATATTGAATAATGAAAGAAAGAAAGGATGGAACTTTAATATAAACAGATGTGAAGAGCTAAATAATGAAAACATGAATAACAAAACAGATGG